CTGTTGTCTCATGTCGTCAGGTTGGCGGGACAGACGGCGGCGAGGGCTGTCTCTCTCTTCTTGGATGATGATGTCTCCTTTTTGCCCGACAACTCCTTCCCTTCACCCATCCAGCTGCTCAAGGTCTGTGTGTGCAGGGATTTGTGTATTTATGTGTTGTTTTCTTTTCTTCAAATATTGCTCCCTCAATATGGTTTCAACAGCAGCCTCCTCATCATGACCTCACTGAGCACTTAATGATTATTAGATTAAAACATATGTTTGTTGTTGAAGACTAGAAAGCAGTCCCCTTATTAATGCACATTCAAATTCACTAGATACAGATTATTTAGATCTGCACCAAATTGCATGCACTCATATTAATCAGACCCCTACACATAACTGATTTTCTGGTGACCTGTCCCTCCGCTCACTCAGTGTCAGCTGGGATTGGCTCTCCACCATCACAGGTCAACCATTTTCTCTACTAAGCTCTACAGATAATAGACGGATGATGAGTCAGCCTGAAAGCCAAACACATGTAGGGCTGATTAACTCTTATTATAAGCAGATTCAATGACGCTCACTGCCTGAGCACCACCCAGGCTACAAACAACCCATAATGCAAAGTCTTGTAAAGGTTTGGAAAATGATGCCTATTTATTTTCCAGCCCTAATTTAGCTGTTTATCATCTCAGAATTTGAACTATTTTTTCATGTCATTGTTACCTGAACACATTAAAGCATGTAATGTTTGTACCCTCGTGGTTGAATGCACTTACTGTAGGTTGCTTTGTATAAAGTGTCAGCTAAATGAAATGTTTCCCCAGCAGCCGCAGGGGGAGTCGTGGAGCCAGTCACAGATGGTTTGTCTGCTCATGGGCTGTGTGTGTTCGCTACCTCGCGGGGTAAGTCTCATTTTGAAAACCTAATCCTGCTTTTATTGAAATGTTGGAGTTCGTGAAGCTGTGTTCTGACTCTGCGTGTGTGTGTGGTCAAGGTGGCGGTGCCTCAGATAGACCAGCTGCTGTCACAGCTGGAGGAGATGAGCTGCACCTGTAACCACCCTCTCTCATACACCTCTGCTGCCAAGTGCTTCGCTGGGCTGGTCAACAAGCGAGCGCAGGGTCTGTTGATCATTCCAACCTCCCGTCTGTAGTCACACGTTTCTGTGGCAGAACAGAGAGCGCCATGCTGTCCGTTAAAATCTGTTAAAATCTTTTTGATTTGTTGTTTTCTTCAGGTGATTCTCTTGACAGCTTGATTCAGAGGACGATGAAGAGAGTGTGTGGAGAGCTGGACTCTACGTCTTCACCTGCCCGCACTCAGGCATTCACCCACATGATCTGGGTAAGAGTTACAGATTTTAATATAGCTTTAATTTATTTTACCACCACCTGTTGATCTATTAGTTTGGTTCATGGATAGATAAATAAGGTTGTTTCTTTGTCTTCAGGTGGCCAAAGCTTTGCTTCTTCGATACCACCCTCTGTCCACAGCACTGACTGACAAGGTAAATAATGCATCCACCTTCTCACTGATATCCTTTATTTGTGACCCTGTGTTTTATGACAATTGATTTATTTGTTTCATTCTGTTCCACCTGAAATTGGAAAATGGCAACTCAAGCTAGTTTGGTGTCATAAGCTCATTTCTTATTCTTTTTATTCTTGAAGCTCTTCTCTCTGCTGGACGATGCTGATCTGGGTACGATGGCGGCAGAAGGCTTCTCGCTGCTGATGAGCGACTCCTCCGACGTCCTAAACCGCGGCTGCCATGCCGACGTCCGCATCATGTACCGCCAGCGCTTCTTTAGTGAGAACTCGGCAAAGTTGGTGCAGGGCTTCAATGCTGCACCGCAAGGTTCGTGGGAAAAGCACTGCTGAGGAGACTGTAGATAGAAAATAGGTTAAATTCAGCATTTACAGATTTACAGAGATTTTTGTTCACTGGCCACACCCTGCTGGTTATTACATTTTTGAAATCATAATCTTCGTTCTGTGGACATTTTGAGATTCCTTGTCCCCAAAGCCTGGGCTGAACTGGGAAAGAAAGCTTGCAGGTTTTCAGTTCCTGATACATAAGATAATTCACAGAATGATTCAAAGCCCAGTAACGTTGAGCAAGTTCTGGTAAAATCTCTCGTGTTGTATATAATGATGAAGTTTTAATATTACATTTGTTCATTTCTTTTATGTTTGAAATTGTGATGTTGTTGTTCTCGTCCAGGTCTCTCGTGTAGAAGAGATTTTTAATCTCAATGGTTGAACCTGCTTAAATAAAGGCTAATAGATAAATTAGTAAAAAGATTTACTGTCCCCCCCCCCCCCCCAGAGAAGAAGTCCAACTACCTGAAGGCTCTGTCCAACATCGTCAACAAACTTCCAAAGCAGGTTCAAATCACCGAACTACCAGCGGTGCGTAAACAGGAAACTCATTTGTTCTCTTCAGGTTCTCTCTTTGGGAAACATTCTTTCGTAATGTTTTTATTTCTTTCGTCACCGTCCAGCTCCTGTCACTGCTGCTAGAGGCCTTGTCGTGTCCCGATCAGGGCGTCCAGCTGTCCACCCTGTCCTGTCTGGAGCCTGTCCTCATCGACCCACCGCCGGCTCTCATACAGCAGCTGGAGGCTTTGTTCAGCAGGTTGCTGGTCCTCGTCTCGAGTCCTACCATGGTTAGTGACATAATGCAACTGAGAGTGCTTTCTGTCGTGACTGGTTTTCAGCAGCAGTGAAACGAAGCAAGAAAATGATGTGAAAACACATGAAGCAGCTCATTGCTCATTCAAAATTGGAATACTGCACATACTCACAGTTGAAGCATAACACTGTATCTTAATCAGTCGATCAATGATGGTGAACATGTTAATAATCCAGAGTGTTTAACAATATGTTGTATTTTTCTTGCAGAGCGTTAAGATCACCTCGCTGCGCTGCATCCACGCCCTCTCTCACCTCCCCTCACATGAGGTAAAATTCAAGATTGTCAATGTTTAAAATGTTGATCATTTTGGATCATCAGTCCTTTCTCCATAACGCTCCATTACTTCACTCCATTTCTATGCAATACACGTGGATTCTTCAATTCATTTATTGCTCTTGTATTTGTTGTCATTTTTGTGTTCAGATAAGACTTGAAATAAGATATTTTAGTTGACACATAAGCCTCATGTCCTTTCCTGTGTGTGGGATTAGCTTGAGTAATTTGTGCCACGCAACTTTCCTCAAGAAATAAAAGATTTCTTCGAACGTTTGTTTCAGATTTTGCCATTTCGGGCGCGGGTGCTGCGAGCCCTGGCTCGGCCTCTGGACGACAAGAAGAGGATGGTGAGGAGTGAAGCTGTACTGGCACGAGGGGAATGGTAAGAATCAGCCACCATTGTTACAGAAAGACTCACTGGAGGAGTCCAAATATGAAATTATGTAACATTTGTCACTGCAGAAGTCACCGTTAGTCCTTTGTTCAAGTTTTATATTTGCTCACCTGAGGACAGGAACTCCAGAAAACATCCAGAATATTGCACTTGAGTTTTTTGCATATTTTAAGAACTCAGCATGAGATTGTCTGTCATATGTTTGCACAACAGCAGGAACATTTTCACGGAAAGTAACCTCAAAACTCAATTAATCGTTTAATATTTTGCACACGTTCAAAATTTGAGTTTTATTTAGCCTGTATTTAGAAATAGAGATTTGGGAAGTGGAAGCAGTGAAGCATCGGTGTTTCCAGTGGCTAAAAAAAACTATTCAAAACTGCGAGCTTCTGCATTAACACACAAGATGAAAACTTAACTCTTCTTAGTTGCTTCTTGCGATGGATCTCCCATATAGAGCAACTTTTAAGTCTCTGATTTCAATTCTTTCCTGTACTGGATTGTGCTGTTTATAGCTCGTTCTAAAAAACAACTAATCTCTGTCTCTTTCTTGTAGGTTCCTTGTGGGGAGCCCTGGGGGAAGGTGATTTTTACATCTCAACACCACCCCGACCTCCTCTCTCTCCAGGACCACGTTCTCACAATCACACCACACAAAAGCTCCCACTCCGGTTTAACTCCACCCACCATCTTCTCCCCCTTTTTACTGACATACTTTTGTTGTAACCTCATAAACGCACAAGTAAGAGAATGTGGACTCCCTTAAGAGTCCCTTGAGTTACAAGAATGAAGATCTCATTGTTTTATTCCTCGTTTACGTTGTCTTTCTCTCTACACGCAGAAATTGTGTGGATTTGTGCCATGACACTTTGATTGTGTATAATTTGAAATTTTTTACTCTCTTTCACTCAGATCCTCCAGAAATCATTATACAGTGATGAATTTTTCAAATATTTAGTATGTTTGCTTGATAAATAACCACATTTTATCAGATGATTTTCTGACTATTAACTAGAAGAGCACTGAACCCAGCAGACACTGACCATCCTTTATCTTCTCATCTGGATGAACGTGTGTCTGAGCAGTAATGTCTTAAAACAACAGGTGGTGCGTTTGATTTGAGTCACCAGCTGGGTGGAGTTGTAAAGACCAAGGCTGCTCACAGGGTGACAAGAATTGAGCGCTTCTACATGTGTCGTGTCTCCACTGGCGCGTGAATGTTGTTTAATTTTATTTTTTGATGTTAATGCTCATTAATCAGTAAAGTTGTGTCAATATGTCTGCAGCAGTATTGATATCATAGTTAGTGGAAAATAGACAGTATTTAAATGTCTAACTTAAGATGTCATTAAAGTTTTCTTTGTAATTGTAAAAAAAAAAAAGTTCTAACGTCATTTCTAAGTTTGCCTTAAGATAATCCGTTTACTAAACTCACAGATTGACTTGAACACTTCTCAAGTCTGCCTTAAGGGATTTCCTCGAATGTTGACCAGTTGTCACTTGAACTTAGAGATGAACTGATGTTTTCATTGGTCAAATGTCAGTGACCTCATACGAATCTGGAAAAAAAATCTTTTGAAACCGCACTGATCCACACAACCACTGGACAGTAATTATGTGATCACCAATCAATGGAACAAGAGTAAAATCAGGAAATATCAAACACTTGTTTTATTTAAAAAAAGAGGGAAAGATAAATGAAATTGGAGCACAGCCCCCTTTGGTTACACACAGCGATGTGTCATGTTTCTATGGCAACTACAGATTTAACTCCTTTTGAAATGAAGAACACGCTGGGGTAAAAGAAAAAAATGGAATTCACAGTGCCTTTTTTCTCACTCATTTAAATGGCCTCAGTTTAAAGGCTGAACCCCCAAACAAGGCACACAAAATGTTATTTTTCTTCATGTAAGGAGCAAAAGATTCAAGTCAGATATTTAAGAGAAGTAGATCAACTCTTCGGCACCAGAACTTCAGTTCATGTCTGTGGTTCTAAAGCTCGTCAGCACACACACTCCATAAAATCTCTCTTCTAAACACTGCAGGTGTTAACAGAGGAGTTCATGATAGAAATAGCTTTTGAAAATGACATTTTAAATTATCAGGAAATTAACCGAACAAGATCGTTAAAAATGTCTTTTCATCTCATTAAAACAAACTCATTCTTAAATAAGCAGACAAGGTTTGGGCTCAGATCCATGATAACATGTCCGGGATACTGTACATACAGTGGCAGTTATTCAAGGTGCTATCATTCATTCTCTCATTTTCTGCTTCCCATCTGTTTTCAACAACTTCTGAGCTGCAATCTACGGGATGAAAATGAACTGATCGCCTCCCACTGTGCAGATGCTTCATAAGTCCTCACTTGCTCACTATTGCAAGGGCAGTCAACATCTCAATCTCTACCTGGTGGCTGGCTGCAGTATCGGTCATACATTTCTCTCAGATGCTTTCTGTCATGTTAGATAGTTCTTATCACACTATCTGAGATACTTTGGCTTTTCGTTGTCAGTCTTTATCTCAAGTGTTTGGCGCCACTCAGGACAAATGTGATTGGTTTAAAAAAAATACGAACAAGCCAGTTTTCTTCTCCTATAGCAGAAAGCTAACAGCACCTGTAAGATGTTGTAACGCTCCTGTACTTCCCTGTCTCCATTCCTCCACATCACAATCTCACACGGGCGAGGCTGTAGTGCTGGTGCAAGAAATGTGCAGAGATTCAGTCTTTGCAAATGGAAACAGAGGTGTGTGCTGGCCAGCAGCACCTTCTGTAAATCAATTCTTCAGTCTTCTCCGACTTCACCAGGCGGCCGACAGACATTTGAGGAATGACGAGTGGTTATGTCCGTAAACACCTTTACACAGCAAAGTGTCTTTTTCCCAGAGGGAGTGGGAGCTTCTAGTTTGTCTCTAGTCACGTTGCTTGAAATGTAAATTCAGGATAAATGTGTTTGATATGGTAATTTTTTTTTAAATATAATGAAGAGGTGAGAATCAGATGGCCATGGGGTCTCTCCTGGTGAAGTTGCAGTCCCACATGATGCCGTCCCCGTGGGGAAGATGACTCGAGGGTAACAGGACCCGTGTGAGCCAGTGACTGAGGATGACAAGAAGAAGTCATCAAGACACCGTGTAAAACTGAAGAATGAGAAAAGATGTTTTAGCAGTAACTCAGTCGTCATCTCCAAATCATAAACATATTAGGAGCCCAACAGGAATAATCCCCATTTGTGGCCGTAGAGGGCGCTGTTGCTCAGTAAAGGTTACATAGTGTTGCTTTAAGATACGATTACAATCACAGTTTAGAAAAATGCAAAACTGAACTTACCTTCTTTTCTCCACACCGAGCAGTAACTTCCAATTGTTCATCCCGCCATGATGGTAGGGATTTCTGAACACCTGCATTGCACCAGAACATGAAGAACCATAGTCAGTTGGATTAAACAATTCATCATCTTTAAGTTTACTATTCTTTCCAGTGTTGAAAGCAGCTGTGCAATAACTTGGCACATATATAGTGCTGGAAACGAACATATATGAAGACTGTACAACATGATAGCTCCCCAAAAGTGAAGCCAAAGTGTCTCAATCGCCCCCTGGTGTCTGGCTGCAGATCAGTCATGAATCCCACCTCCTCATCCATCTTTATTTACAGTCTATGATCATCATATTTACCTTGCCCTTCTCCACAAGTCTTCTGATCTCTTTGTTGTTGATGTGGCGCTCCACGCTGGTCTCCCCTCTGCAGATGAGTATGGTGTGCCACAGGGTGAGTCCCCCCAGAGCTACTGACACCGAGCTGGAGAACGGGTGCATGTGGGGGTTACATTACCACTTTCGCTTGATTTTTAAACAGAGAGACTACCAGCGGTGAAGTGTCGCTCACCTGGTCAGTACCCAGAGGTAGATGACACTCTTGTGAGCCGTGGTTTCTCTTAAGGTGTAGTCTGGAGTTGGGGTATGATAATAACTCTAAAGGGGAGAGAAGAATACGGTCAGACTTATCTCGCTGCTTTCTGAGGTCCGTCCCCCTCAGGATAACACTGCTTACAATATGCATGAGCTAAGTCTTAACACGAACACGTTTTTATTAACCATCTGGCAAACAAACACTCATGAAATAAGACCATCGTATGAGAGGTAAATATGAGAGCAGCAAGCCAAGATCGCTTTCAGGTCTCCTGTTCCACTTGTCTTTTGCCATTTGAGATCGAAATCTGCCTTCTTGTTGCCGCCTGGCAGCCGCTACCTAACTGTTAATTGCAGGCAAATATGGTGACAACTGCGTCACAGCATCCCCTGCAGGCGGAAGTGCACTATGTAACTCTGGTGTACTGTGCTGGAACATTACAACATGCTTTACGGCATTACGTCACACAACAACTAGAGCCGGAGCTAGCAGCTAGAAGTTGAGCTGCGTAAGTGAAATTGTTGACTCGCAGTTTATTTTCTGTCAACATGTCAACAAATGCTTGTATGAACAGACTCAGACCGCAACTCGTAGTCACAACAGCAAATTATGCATCCCACCAGTAGGGTGAGTATAGCAGAGAGCAAATCTTGAATTGAGTCGCTTGAAAATCTGAGCTTAGTTCGCAGCCGTGGTGATGGTGCTGTCTCACCTCTATAACGCTGTATGCCTCCAGAAACAGTTCCCTGCTGCTGATGCTGCAGTAGATGCAGCCCAGGGTCATGTAGAGGCAGAAGGAGAAGAAGTAACGATGGTTGAAATGGCCCACACAGTTGTTCAGCCAGGCTGCAAATTATTTTAAGTTCAACATTATAAAAAATGGGAAATAATAAAAAATAAATAAATAAATGTTCACGCATTTTCTCCCGTTTCTTCATTAAAAAAGGATACGACAGTGGTGGTCCATCTTCAAAACACACCTGCAATAAAACAGAAAGTATTAACAGCAAAGAAAATTTAAATCATCAAATAACTTTCGTGGATGAAGTTGGGAAAATGATCTTACATGTTGCAGATGCTACAGTGGTGCGTCCTGGGCGGTTTTGGACTGATGCATTTCTTACAGATGGACACTGAGGGGACATGAATTTTGTCCTAAAATAAAGAACACAAAGAGGATATACCATATGAATCAAGAAGTCAGGTTTTACCAATGATACAGCCACTTATAGTGTACAACAGATACAACAGCAAAGGGTTTCCCTCTTCTCTAAAAGCAGTTTCTCGCGCCCCACATCAGTGCGTCTACGCTGCGTGTATACACTGTCATCGTATGTTAGGGGTTCTGAGACCTTTGGCGGGTGTCCGGGAGCCGTGGTGGTAGCCTTGTAGTAATGGAAGACCACCATGACAAGGAGCCAGTGGCCATAGCAGAGGTGCCAGGCCACCCAGTGCACAGGGTATGTGCTGAAGATCGTGGGCAGGACGAACAGGTAGATGACGACCACGACTGAGGTCGTCAGGAGAATGACCAGGCAGACGAACACCTGAGAGAGAAAAGGGGAACCAGGGAACAGAAAGTGAGGAAAGACGTGAGAGGAGATGATGTGTAGAAGTGTCGAAAGAAAAGAGAAGAGGAGCAAGCTCACCACTCCAAACCAGCGGGTCACGTTGTCCACGATCCAGTAGACAGGTTCAAACACACAGTCCAGCAGTGTGTCTGAGTTGCTGAGGCTGTTGTAATACAGTGACTTGAGCAGCAGTTTGCTGTAGCTCCACAGCTCCGACAACCTCCCGCTGATCCGGGCTTTGTTTCCTCCTCCTCTTTGCGGGCGGCACAGCCGGCACCAGCGCAGTGCGAGTCGCATGGCCCGGGAGAGCTGCCACCTCCAGCTGCTACCCATACGGATGCCACTACCACCACCTCCTCTTCCTCCTCTCCTAAACACTCGGCCTTCCAGACACACACAAACACACAGACACACACACCAACAGTTACAAATGCAGGCTGCGTAAAACAGCAGCTCTTCCTGGCTAAGCCTGATGTTCGCTGAGGTTCCCATAGTCGCCTCCACCTCAGGAGGAGTTTGAGCTCCGACACAAGAGAACAGGCAACACAAGGGACTCCCGCTCATAGAAAGCTCTTTCCTAGAAGCAGCCTCACTGTGACATCTGTCACTCAAAGAAAACAAGGGCAGGAGCTCTCAGGTAACTGAGCTACAACCATCGGCCCCACCAAAAACTTCTTCATTTAATAATTCACAGCAAATCCAGAGCTCAGGGCCAAGGACCTTCCAGTACATTGGCAGGGGAAATGCAAAGTGGTAACCCTGTAAGAGGCAAATGTGAAGGGATGAATGTTGTAAGAAGGATATAAAGTGGCTACCTGATCCCGGGGCATCATTTCATGAAAGTGAGTATTGGTTACACAGATAAGGCTTGTTCAGGTTCTCCAAAATAAGAAGGCATAAATAATGCTAACCAGGGGCCTTTGGGGGACAGTGAAAGCAAAGCCGGGCTTCAACCAGCTCTCTTTGTTCCTATATCAGCTTCTGTTTGACTTCTGATGGTGGTGACCACAGTGAACTCTGCTCTATTCTGTCATGTATCAATATTTCAGCTCAGATGTACACTCTCAAAAGAGAAGAAGACTTCCTCCACAATGCAGAAATGAAGCCAAAATATCCCAGAGCCAGAGTTTGTGCAGTGAAAATCATGGCAATCTCAGGACATGTTCAAACCTATAGTTTGTTTGCTTTGGTCCAAATTAGTTGACTTCTTCTCACACAGAAAGACACATTTAAGTGAACCAGCTTCTTTACTGTGGGTTACAGGAGCGAGAAAATAAAAAAGGGTCATATTTGCTCCAATATCTGGAAGGCAACGTACAGGTTACTTCCTTTGCAAGCTGCCAACAACTTATGATGGCTGCAGCTTACACCTGCAGAGTATTCCTTGCAGCCTAGTCAGATCAAAGTCACAACATTCAACAAATGATTCAAACCAGTCTGTTTAAACAACCCATGTTTGAAAAGCCTACTTCTATTTTTGTCATTCAATATATATATTTGTTTCTTTTGTGGGCAGAAATAGTCTTCCATACCATTGAGACTTTCTGTCTCTCCTCTATATTCTAATTAATAAAATAAACCATCAGATTTCATCATGAGTGATGGTTGAAATATGAAAAATATATCCATTTGAGGACACCTCCACTGCAGACAGGCAAATACGCATTTTAAATAAATACATTATATGAATCCAAATGCTGTGTACCAGACACAGAAGGAGAACAGGAGGGAGTGGTGCGATCACAGCAGGGCACCGCAGTCTCTATGGCAACCTGTGGGCCTAAATCTGGTCTCAGAGGAGAGGATGATCAGTGTCTGTGTGCCTCATTGTAATAAGCTTTACCTCGTCTTCTACCTTTGAATCGGCTCAACAACGTGTCTGGGAGTTCTTACTTTTTCACAGGATTTTGGTTTAATATGAATGAATCAAAATCAGCTTTGCACATATTGCATGTTGTATATTACAAATGAATTTGGAAAAATTGCACACTCACACAACTTTTATCTCTATATTGCACATTTATAGAACAGCCCAATAATGTGTATAGTATTTCTGTCTTTATCTTAGTTATTCTAGATTCTGTACTTAAATATGCACCTAACTGAATCAGGAATTGTGCATTCGTTTCAGTGATGGTGATTGGTTCATGGCCGACAGCATATCCAGGTTTTCCAGCAGCTAGACATCAGATATGAAAATGTTTTATAATTCATAGTCTCTCCTCTCTGTACCCTCTGCTACAGAGTAATAAACTGCAGCTAAGTCTCAGCTTGTATACTGATGACTTAACACTGACTCACCACACCCTCTCTTGCGTTGATTCTTCACAAGTATGAACTAAATACCTCCTCTGCATGTCAGTGCACAGTTCACTGCACTCATGTACCTACTTCATGTAATGAAGGCTCAAATGAGACAAGGATGAAAACAGTAGAGATGAGTCATTACAGTTCAGGGTTGTTGCTGTTGCCATCATATTTCTGCTTACCTTAATATGATGACGTGTGACTATCTCTGCCAATGGCCATGGTTATTATGATACTGTGTAGACCTGGAAAACAAATCATTTGGGTGATTATTACAAGTAATCAGCAACAATTTCCAAGAAAAGCAGCTTTTCTCTGCTTCATACTGTTGATCAGACAAAATAAGCCAAATGAAGACATTACAGTGAGCAAAAGGAAACTGTAGACACTTCTTTCTATTTACTGATATGTTACAGAATAATTTACCACATGTCACTAACTAGTTTTCTCTCTCCTGTAGCTTGTCTACAACTATTAGCTGGTGCTGCTATCATTAATAACATCATTACATCTATAAGTATCTCAGTTATTATGATATTATTTTTTTCATTAGAACCACCAGTGTGACCAATCCTCTCTCCATTTATCTCTCTCTTCTCACCCCAACTGGTTGAGGCAGATGGCCCCACATTAAATCTGGTGTTGCTAAAGGTCTCTCCCCATTAAATGATGAATTGATTGATAGAAAAACAGATCATTTGATTAATTGAATATTTAAAAAATTGAATGTGGCCCTAATATAGAATCATAACTATCTTGCACAAAGTAATTTATTCAAACTCTGCAATATTCATTTTGTCTGTTTAATACAATGGTTCATGTGCAATCCATTCACTGGACATATTCTCCCACTGCACATATTGTTCTTGTTTTCATACTGTGTACATTAGTCTTTATTCCATTCATTTTGTCATATTCCTAACACTTAAGTAGAATTATCCTCACACTTGAATGTTACTTATTACTTACTGGTGCCTATTTTTGACTCGTGATGCTGTAATATTGCAAATGTCCCCATTGTGGGACAAAGAAAGGATGAGATAAGATCTTGTTCTGTCTTTTCCCTGTCCACCCCCATCACACCATAATGCAAATCCAGTGGGTTTGTTTACTGTGTTTAACAACCAACAGTCAAAGCCAGATCATCATCATGCTATCATACACAACAATCAGAGTTTAAACTGCATACGTGTTATTTGTCAGTAACTACAGACAACTACCACTGAAGCCTCTGAGTGTGTCAGTGGTGGATTGGCTCCAACATGTCATGCTGTATCTGAAGCTAGCTAACAGCTCCACAGCCTCGGGTCCCCCTTTAGCCCTGCCCGTGCTAACGGTCCGTTCATACACACGCAGCACATTGACCCGGACTGACCCGGACTAACCCGGACAGGGTCCCGCTGTAGTTTACCTGTGCAGGTGAAAGCGCTGAAGGAACCTGAAGCTTGAGGTCAGATCATGATCAGGCTACATGTTAGCTCATCCTCACCGCAGCCAACACAGCCCGCCGCAAGATCGTCTATTGGACAGATGACTCACTCACTCAACTGTCGCCTTGTCCGCTCCATAAAGCTGACTTGCGAGTGATTTTTATAGTTTTATAATGTATTTAAACAGTGGGAGTAAACTGTAGTTCTAACATTTGTAAGCTAGTGTGTTTTGTTTGCAATTTACCAAAAGCTCCTTGTTTCTATTCCCCACTGACAAACAATACCCAAGTGGCACCTCTCCTCCACGCTCCCTCTTTCCTGGCAGCTCGCTCTGCAGGGCGCAGTGTGTTCTGGGAGACGGAGTTTTATTCTCCTGTGACAGTTCATTGAAACGCCTCTCAGCTCCGGCTGTCGTAGCTTCACACGGAGAAGTAGCAGCTTCACGTGTTTTCACAGAAGCAGCTCAAGACATGACACCGATAAACATTCAGTGATCGCTCGTTTAAAAAGACAAAGAACGCTTTCCCGAAATTTCCAACCGAACCAGGAAGTACCAAGAGGTCATATGACTGTAGAAAGATGGCCGCGGTGCAGTGGTAAGCTGCTGGTTTCTCATTTTAAAATCACTGGATTTCCAACAGAAATGACTTGAACGATGTATTTATTAACATTTTGCAGATTCGGATGTAAATATACATGCGGTGCAAGTGCTTGCTTCGTGAGCTTTACTGTGATTTAGCCTGAGAAATCAAATGTCAGTTGTTTCAGCCTCTTTCAACATCTGATTACTTCTTTAATGCAACATTACTCAGAGTTACTGTGTCTGTGGCCTTTAAACAAACACCCTGCTCGGTGCACTTTAGTTATGGTTCAGTACAGACGATGTGGATGTGACAAGGTGATGAGGTAGTTTAGATTCAAATATAAATGTATGAAATACTTAATGTTCCACATCCTGACTGCTCCAATTAAGCAGATAGATAGATAGATAGATAGATAGATAGATGGATAGATGGATAGATGGATAGATAGATATATAGATAGATAGATGAAAGTTGCAGTTTAAATCTCTTCTTTATGATCAAAGAAGGACAAACAGCAAAACATTTTGTAAATTGAGGTCGATCAGATTTGTTTTATTCTCCTCACAGTATAATAATTATTGATATGGTTTTATTGCGCAGCTTAAAACTGAGATTTAACACTGACTGTAGTAACTGTAAGAAAAGAAACAGTTTGTTTTCTGCAGCTTCTTCATCTCAGTGTTGTGCATCAGACTGTCAGTAGTAGAGACAGCTTAACTATATTGTGTCTCCTGTCAATCTGCTGTGTCACCAGGCGCTCCCGCGGGCGCAGCTATGAGGCGGAGCTGCAGAGGTGTCGTCCTGAGGCGGCTCTGGTTGAGTTTGGAGACTACCATCCCATCAAGCCCATAATGGTATCAGCCTCCTCCTGCTGTTCAGCCTCATCGTTACTATCACGCAGTCAGAAACATCTCCGTCGCAACACAGCGCCTGCATCATAAACCTCCTCCTCTCTCTTCATCCTGGTTCTCCATCTCTTTAGCTTCATCCCACTGCATAGCTTTAAAACATTCTTTTTTGTTATTTGACAGAAATGAGCTGAATTACTATGAAACATTGACAGAACTTGGAAGAAGAGTTTGAAGTTTGCAGGTTCATTTTTAGAGCAAAATGAATGAACTGAAACAAGCTTCCTCTGCTGTAATTTGTATGAGATGAGCTAAAACGTATAAAAACATTGGTATAGTTCTTCAGTGTCCCCGTCACAGTTCTGTCCTGACCCTCTCCTCTGGTCGCAGGTGACTGATACAAAGACCCGCCGTGGGGCTCGTAAAGGCAGCACCTCCTCCTCCTCCTCCTCCTCTTCCTCAGTGCCCCCGGACCCCCTAAGCTCCATGCTGGATGGGACGGACCCCTTGTCCATGTTTGCAGCAGCCTCTGCCAGTGAGACTCCAGCCATTTCACACAGTGCCTCCACAGGGGTCAGTTCTGTAATTCAATTACTGTTTAGGAAGCTTTTTACCTTGAGAAAACAGTGCATGATAATGAAACTTTATTCCAAAATTATCTCTATCAACCCTCAGAAGCTTACGACAAAAGTAAAGACATACTTGTTTTATACACTGAGGTGTTCTTCTTCCAGGACCTTGGAAGAAAGAGGAGGGAGAAGGATGAAGAGGCCGTGGGACCAGACTTTGAGCCGTGGTCATCGAAGCGTGGAGACATCCTGGCCAGGTTCACCACCACCGAAAAACTCTCGATCGTGAGTCCATTGTAACACCTACTACCAGTGACTGAACTACATCTTCCTTTACTGGATAGAGATCTGATTGAAATTTGTTTGTCTTCATAGAATCTTTTCATGGGCTCTGACAGAGGTAAGACCTGTATTTCCATTTATTATTTTGATTTCCCATATCTGAGGCTATATCAATGTTTTATTAGGGGGCAATCTTTGTACAGGTTAGACTCACAACACTTCAAGTATATCAGCCTACTGTATGCATCACCAATGGAGGAAAACTATACTGAACATTTCTGATACCAAAACATCGGCCGATGTATATCAATAGTAAAATTTGGCAAGGATTCCGAAGATGTTGTTATCAAACCTGTATGATAAAGGAATATAACTGTGACTTGATATTTTCAGTTTGACATAAGTATTTCGAGAATAAGAAAATAAATCTTTTTTATTTAAATTGTAAACATAAATGCTGTTCTGCACACTTTATTTTGTAAAATAAAATGTTTCATATTCATGTTTACATAAATGGTGAAACCAATAACCAGCTCATATCAGCTGATAACTATCCCCGAAAAAACACCTTTTGTTTTACTTCGATTGCTTAAAATCTGACAAATTCCTCCTGTTGTTTCTGTAGGAAAAGATCCCAGTCCAGGATCCTCAGCTGTTTCAGAGAAAGTCCGCACTCGCCTGGAGGAACTGGATGATCTGGAAGAGGTAGGTCTCTGTCAATATTCATGTGGGCAAGTAATACTCCAGCATGTCGCTGTCACATCTGCTCACAGATGTGGGCTTTCTCTCTACTGTAGCTGCTTTCAGACATGCACTCAAGTCTGGATATTTTCCAGAAGGACTGTACGTGAAAATGCAAATGCTCAAATCAGTTGCTCTGGACATTTCAAAATTCATAGTTATCCAGTGGGCATGTTGATGATCCTTCTAATTCACACCGGACTCAAAACTGGAATAATCAAATATCTTTGGATGTTCCCTATTATTGCTTGAATAAGTAGTAAAATTCAACAACACAATACATTTCCCTTGAGGTAAATATTATTTTACCTAAGCAGAGTGAATTTTGGACCTTGTTGTTTATGTGTGAATAATTTGTTCAGGGTTCCCAGAGAGAGCTGCTGAACCTCTCCCAGCAGGATTATGCCAACCGCATCGAGGAGCTGAACCAGTCCCTGAAGGAGGCGTGGTCCTCAGACCAGAAGGTCAAAGCCCTGAAGATTGTCATTCAGGTGACTCGGTGGAAAAAACCTCAGACGTTAAGTGAATGTTTCAACACCGTGTCTATATTAACAGTTTTCCTCTTATTTACCATGTGTGCTCTGTGTCCAGTGCTCCAAGCTTTTGTCCGACACCTCAGTGATCCAGTTCTACCCCAGCAAGTTTGTCCTCATCACCGATATCCTTGACACGTTTGGTGAGTTAATAAGCCCTGTTTCCCTCAGTTTCCCTCAGCATCTTTTAAAAAAAATGTGCATGTTTTTTGAGTATACCTCTGCTTGTTTTTAGGTCAGCTAGTGTACGATAGAATCTGGAGCATGTGTTCAGACCCACCACTGTTGCCAGGTAAGGATGAAATATCTACATCTTGTTTTATATCTGAGGGACACAAGCTGTTTCAGACATGAAGTCCAGAGTTTGTCTTTCACACGTAAATAATGCTTTATAATAATGATTCTCTGCTCAGATGCGTTCAGGTGCAGCAGACAGAGGCAGGTCATAACGTATAGATTCCACTGTGGAGATCATGTGTTTTTGTTTACAGCAGAGTGAAGTCAGCATCTGCCCTCATCAACAAAAGCTCTCAAATCTCGTCTTTCCAACTTGAGATCTTCTTTGGTGCCTTCGATGTGTATGGTTCCTCTTTTTTCTTGAGATATTAGTTTTCTTTCCTTTTTTTTAGTTTTACCTCCGTCGCTTGTTTGAAACGTTATCAACACATCGACCTGCTCGCTGTGAATCCTCCAGACATTTTCCTGCTGTGTTCTCACATGGGCTCACTCTAAAGTCAGCAGCAACTGACTTGGACATTTGCGCTCTCACACACAGCACATAATCTCCAGATATTATCCAGAGTTCAGTGCATATCTGAAAGCAGCTGTACAGAGCTTTCTGTGGTGACGCTGTGGTGATTCGTGTTGTGTGTGTGTCTCAATTTCCTCCCTCCTCAGACTCGTTCACAGTGGAAGATGTGAATGACACGGCCAAAGAGACGTGCCTCAACTGGTTCTTCAAGATCGCCTCCATCAGGGAGTTGCTGCCCAGATTGTATCCTTTACCACCATCAGCTTCACTGCTGTTTGCTGCTGTCAGGTCATCTGGACTGATCTCAGGCCTGTTTCAGTTGAACAAATATTAGTTTCAGTCAAATCCTTCTGTAGATCAGTCCAAACCACTGCAAATTAAGAAAGAGGTAAATATATTGTTTTAAAATGGACACACTCTCTTTCATTGTCTTGAACCTGATCATCCACACACATTCTTTACCTCATGTTCTTTAGTCTTTAACTTCCATGAACAGATACGTCGAGGCTGCTATTCTCAAGTGCAACCGCTTCCTCAACAAATCGTACGTTTGATTCCTCCTCATATCTTCATACGAACTTAACTTTCACCATTGTAAATGTTTTTATAAAGTTAATTATATTATATTATATAATATGCATTTGTAACAATGGATGTAGCAAATAGTCCATGTAGCTGAAACTGTTTTAAGACTACCAACAGCAGTTTGGTCATTACGCTGTACGATGCCCCTCCTCTCTCCACAGTGGCATTCAGGAGACGCTCCCTCGGTTGACGGCCATGGTCAGAGGGATCGGAGACCCTTTGGTGGCTGCGTATGCCAGAGCATACCTCTGCAGGGTGAGATGCTTATATTTGCTCCATATATTTTCATTAATTTGGCATTTTCCTTTATTTCAATTTGTCTGTATTTATCTCAGCCTGGTATATAGTGTGGTTCTGTTACTGTACATC